CATGTGTGTATGGGTTCATGCGTGTGTGTGTGTGCGTGTGTGTATCTGCATCGGGAAGATGGACTTTACGGATTCCCAGAGACCTCGATCCGCTTGTGAAGGAATGCATGAAATCCAGGGCAAAGAATTTACCCGCAGACAGGAAAATCAGCTTAAAGTTCGTTGGATTGGCAGAATTGACTGCGGCCTATTTGCGTCTTGAGAAGGAGGCTGCTTCCATCTTTGACGCTGAAGTAGATTTGCAGAGATTCGCCCATCCTCAGGAACATTGGCACTTTCGACAGGCCGAGGAGCGGTGGCTTTAGAAAGGACTGGCTACTGGGCGACAACTCATTCGCACATGAGGACATATAGACGACTAGGCAACGACTGCCCATCTGCCAAACGGGAGTAGGGCAGTCCCCACAAGATCGTCAGCACATGACGGCTATGGACAGTTATGGCGCCCAATTGGGTGCTATTAGTCGAAGCTAATTGGAATAAACTATCTCGAAAAAAAGGGAAGGGAACCGTAGAAAGCCTAGTTCGCATGTGGTAATGGCCGATTAGTTGAATTTTCCAATACGGACAGCAATAAGCATCATGATGCTGATGAATACACTTAACTTTTCCTACCATAAGGCATTCTCGTCCTGAATGGCGGGAATGCAGTTTCGACCTCAGCAAAATGGGACTCGAACCATGGCCGTACCGTTTGTGTCTGCCAGCTGTTACCGCCCCACCTCAATGCCACGAATGTCAATGTGTCGAAGGGCAAATGTAAAGTTCAAGACTGGGCAAGCCTCTCCCATATCACATTATGCAATCGAATTGTCGCTAAGGCAAACTTGTATTTGCCATTACAATCGACTACCATATATACATTATTTGAGTAGGTTTTGACAAGTATAAATCACCCATTCAAGACTTATTCATAGTTTCCAGACTTTTGCAAACAAGCACAAACACTGAGTTCTCCGTGCCAATTTTCGTGTGGCAGTGCGATTGTACAGAAATACCCATCTGTGCCAGTAAGTGCTGATGATCGAGGATGGCGAAATCATCGACTACTAACGATGGAGACAGATAAAGTGATAATGGCACTTCCAATCTTCTATTCTCAATGTTGGGAGTAAGTTAATAAAGGGCCACATTTTTAGACTAGTTCTTTTCACATTTAAGTTTTGTTTCGAGACTACCAATAAATCAGTAATATGAGAAAAAAAGTTGGGTGTATTTTAAGTAGCTAACATAATTGTTGAGCTTACTTCCATTTCGAGTGAAAGTGTTGGATGAAGAGATTCGAAGGTCGTTTCCACCAGAAGACGACGGCGGATTCCTC